TCCGAAATACGAAATTCAGATCCGAAATCCGTTAACGGAATTTCGTATTTCGGATAAGAAAAAAACTACCATCAACTCCAATATATTAACAAAGGTATTTTTGCTTTTTAACTTCATCATAACGAATGTTCGTAAAGTTACGAAAATGTGATGAAACTAACGAAAATTCGTATTTCGTACGAATCCGAATTGAATTTCGGACACGAATTACGAAATAACAGATATTACGAAACAAAACAAATTTTTTGACGGCGCAAAAACTGTGAAGGCAAATATTTAAAGTGCCTCTCCACTTTTTTTCCTGATTCATGATTGAGCACATCTTTTCCTAACAGGAATATAAGATAGAACAAACAGTTGTAATCAAAATGATTTAAACACCCATTGCAAATCAGGTTTATCAGCAAGATTTACAAACTATCATATGTTTGCAATGAACAAATCAAGCAATTGAAATAGGTCAACACAATAAATGTTTCAAGTGGTTTCCCCAAATTCAACTGAACTGAAAATGCAACTTTTAATGACTTCCGCAGTCTTAAAGGAGAAGTATGAGGGGGGTGCTTTTCACTCACCTCATAGTTCTAGCCGACCTGTGACAATGAGACTGTCACAGGTCGGCTCAGTAGATCGGGAGGTGAGCGAACACATACCGGCGTTCGCTCACCTCTCGATCCTGTGACGGCTCTCTGCCGTGACAGGGGAGGGGCTGGATTCCCCCCTCCCCGCTCCGATCCTCCAGCGCTGACTGGCGGAACGGACAGGGGAGGGGGCGGGTACAGCTGGCTCTGCCTCTAGATAGGCAGAGCCAGCTGTCACTCACGCAGCTGGGCGGATCTCGACATCAATGTCTGGATCCGGTCCGGCGTCTCAGTATACCGCGAGCTGTAGCTCGCGATATACTGAGCTTAGGGTGATGGGAGGACGCTAGTTTGTGTCCTCCCGTTACCCTAAGGAGAACTATGGGGAAAAGCCCTGACCCCATAGTTCTCCTTTAAAATTATTTAACCCCTTCATGGCAAGCATCATTAGTATTTAGTAGAGCACCATTTTTCTGTTATGACCTGTTGCAAATGAGATGCATAACCAGACATCAGCTTCTGGCAGGGTTCCTGAGGAATCTTAGCTCATTCGTCATGAGCAATGGCCTCCAGTTCACCAATATTCTTCGGTTTGCGTGCTGCAACCACCTTCTTCAAGTCCACCAGAGATTTTCTATGGGGTTCATGTCTGGTAACCATGATGGACACTGCAGAATCTTCCAGGACTTCTTCTGTAAACAAGCCTTAGTAGAATTTGAGGTATTCTTGGGATCATTGTCTTATTGGAAGGTCCAATGACGCCCAAGCTTCAGCTTCCTCATAGACAGCGTGACGTTTTCTCCTAGGATTTCCTGATACTTCAATGAATCCATCTTGTCTTCCACACACTGCGGGTTTCCAGTGCCAGAGGATGCAATGCAGTCCCAGAGAATTACCGAGCCACCACCATGCTTAACTGTAGACAGGATGTTCTTTTCAGTGTATGCTTCCTTCTTCTTTCTCCTGATATATCATTGATCCTTAGGGCCGTAAAAGATCCAGTTTTGTTTCATCGCTCCACAGAACAGAATCTCAAACTTCAGCGGCTTATTTATATTATTTGGAGCATAGTGGAGCCGACTTGTGCTTTTGGGTCGGTGGTGGTGTACGTCTTGGAGTTCTGACATGGAAACCTGCGTTCAGTACGCGCCTTACTGTAAAAACTGAAACCTCAGTGCCTGTTGCCACCAAGTCTTCCTGTAGGTCTTATGCAGTCGCTCGAGAGTTTTACTCAACCCGCCTTCTCAGAAATCTCAGAATTTGTGCTCTTGCGAGGGATTCTACAGTATTCAGGAGGTATGAATCATTCTGAGACTGCAGAAGTCATTCAAAGTTGCATTTTCAGTTGAATTGGAGAAACCACTTGAAACTCATTGTGTTGACTTACAGTGTATTTCAATTGCTTTAGTTTGATTTGAGTTTGTTCATTGCAAACAATTGAAATTCTGTAAAATTTGACAAATAAACCTGATTTGCAGAGGGAGTTGAATAAGAACAAAGGAAAATAGTCCAAAATTATTACAGATTTTGTTTAAAGTGGAAATAAACTGAATTAATGTAATTTTTCATGTGCTTAAAGGAGAACTATGGGGTTAGGACTTTTCCCCATAGTTCTCCTTAGGGTAAACGGAGGACACAAACTAGCGTCCTCCCGTCACCCTAGGCTCAGCTCTAGCTCGTGGTATACTGAGACGCCGCAGCTGAAGCGGATCCCGACAATTGTGCCGGGATCCGCCCAGCCGCGTGACTGACAGCTGGCTCTGCCTATCTAGAGGCAGAGCCAGCTGTACCCGCCCCCTCATCCTGAATCCATCTGGTGGTGATAAATTATGAATTTCCCCCGGATACATTTTAAAAGCAATTTAGCTTTTATCTAACTCAGTGAGCTATGTAAGAGCGCCCTCTAAAGGATCTTCATATGTGCTACAAAATCATACAAGGTAAATATACAATGTAAGGCTAAAATAATATTTAAAGTGGGTTTTTTTTTTCTTCACTTAACGTGGCTTAATCCCCAATAAGCAATCGGGGCAAGCTTTCAAGTTTTAGGCTGCAGAACTAAAATGGCAACTAGAATCTCATTGGCTTAGATGGGTAACACCCCCTGTGCAATGTTCTACAATTTGTCTTGAAAGTATGAAGTATTTCAAAATTTCCCGAATTACGCTGCATGGACGGACAGACATGTACAGGACGCCAGGAATGGGTCGTGGATGGACGATATATGCCTCCCTTGTTTAGGTGGTGGTCCCGTTAAGGGTTCTCGCCAAGCAGGGTGAGGGGTTCCTGGTCGGACTTGTAAGGGAAACTGCTAGGCAATCTTCCCAGAGTTGTTAAATATACATGGGGTCCCGGAATCCGGAGGCTTAAGGAAATTTTTGGGTGGGACAGAGCCTCAATCCCTGACTACAGCCAGTTCTGGTAATGAAAGGGTTAACCCATCAGCCGGAGGGCGTGTTACTAAGGAACAGGAAGCCAGTCAGTGTGTCTGTGAGGAGGGTTTGGAGCAGGACACATGGCTGTGTGTATTAAGCTGTAGAATGCCGTCTACCTAGACACTGCTGGGGCACCTGTGTCCATACTGGAACCCTCTGTGAGCAGTAGGGTTGCCACCTTTTCTTCAAGCCAAACCCAAACACTGTAGCACCTCGCGGCAATTTTTTTGTAAAGTATACACTATGCCACAGGTCCCCAGATATATACTATATAAAGCAATATCCATATACTTTGCCGCACTCATTACCCGATATCCCAAAAGTAACGGGTGCTCGTAATGACTGTGGATGGCGCCGCTCACAAAGTTCTGCTGAATATAAGCTGTTTTTATTTGATTGTTTGTGGAAAAGGAATACAAGTTTATTTGCAATGTGTCATATCCACCCTGAATATTACAGTTATTTAAAAATAATATCATGACGTATAGATTTGTGTGTTACTTACAGTCCACTCTCAGCTCCGCCTTGGTAGAAGCAACCCCCATCCTGTTTTCAGCGAGGCATCGGTACACTCCCATGTCTTTGGGAACCACAGCCGTTATAATGAGCTGCTGGCAGCCCTCCTGGTCCTCGTTGATCATATAATGGTCATCTTCCTCTATCACCTTCCCATCTTTGAACCAGCGCACGGTTGGCATTGGCTTTCCGATCACAACACAGTCAAAGCTGACCGGGTAGCCATCCGAGACCTCTTGGTTTTGGAGATCAGTGATAAATATGGGAGCTTAAAAAGAAAGAAGATTGTTTTCATTCACTTTATAAAATTAGAAAGAATGCAACACATTTAAAAGTACTCTTTGTTGACGCAAGGCTTTAAAGGAGAACTATGGGGTCAGGGCTTTTCCCCATAGTTCTCCTTATGGTAACTGGAGGACACAAACTAGCGTCCTCCCGTCACCCTAAGCTCAGTATACCGCGAGCTACAGCTCGCGGTATACTGAGACGCCGCAGCCGGAGCCGGAGCGGATCCCGACATCGATGTCGAGATCCGTACAGGTGCGTGAGTGACAGCTGGCTCTGCCTATCTAGAGCTGTACCCGCCCCCTCCCCCGTCCCTTCCGCCAGTCAGCGCTGGCGGATCAGAGCAGGGGGGGGGGGGGGGCATACCACGCTCCCCCTGTAAGT